AGGTGCTGGAGCAGGTCCAGAGAAGGGCCTTTCCTAGAAATAAAATAGCCTGTCTTGTAATGATCCAGTTAAAAATTAAGCAGACCTAGAACACAGCCTGCTCTGTCTCTGATAAGAATGATGCCATATTTAAAGTCACCTTAGCTAAGAAGAGGAAGGCTAAGTCATGAATAAGTAGAGTGAAACCTGTGGATTCCAGTTTGAATGCACTGTCATCACCTAATAGGTATTCCCTTTGGTGCGAAGTATTGTGCTTGTGGATAAAATTTTCAGCAGGTGTAGACTTCAGTCATTTTAAGAGGTTGGGCAGGGTGACTGTCTTTCTCAGTTCATTTGTCTAATTCTGTATGCAGTCTACTTTAGGAGTGGAAGGCCATCAGTGAATCTGAACCCTAATCTCTCAAAGTTCTTTGGTTTTTGCTTCATTTATAATACATAATTTGAAATTCAGTTTACAATGTCTTTGTTGTGTTCATTGACTTTTATATTTTCATCTAAAGCCTTAGCACCTTTAACATTAAGTATTGCTTCTGTACAGCTGATGGAAAATGTTTGGCATCTGTTGGGCTAGATGATAATCATGCCATTGTGTTTTGGGATTGGAAAAAAGGAGAAAAGCTATCAACAACCAGGTAAGAGTACATCTTGGTTTAAATGTGCCCTGTGATTACATTTTTCTGAACAATATCATCCACATGTATTACTTTGCTTATAGGAAAACTCAGAACACCTCCCTGAAAACAGAATGGTATTTCAGAGCAATATATCCAGATTAAAAATCTTGGGATCTATGTTTTAGTGTTTGGAAATCCCATGAACTATTTCTGTCAAGAGTTCACTAGCTTTCCTGTTAGGATAGCTACATTGATATTGTAGTGCACTTAATGATTTTAAAGGTAATATTTTATGTCCTGATTCAGGGCAGAAGTCATGAGAGATGTCATTTTCCTTTATGCATTAGATGATAGGCTGGGTTCCATCAGTGTACATAACCAGATCACTTTTCTAAAAAGCAAAAAGGTTGACTCTAATATAAATAGATTTTTCAAGGTCTACTGATCTTGCCTTTCTTCTAAGTCAGCTTCTTCTGTGACATTTGTTCTTTGCAGGTACTAAACGAAAGCTTAGCTAATAACCTGGTAGGGAAGAAGCTTTTGCAATTGCTTCAAGGGACCAATGTTGGGAAGAGGATTGGCTTATGGTTTACATTTGCTGCTTTTTTTTTTTTTTCCCTAAAATATTGGATTGAAACATTTTCTTTATACTGAACTAGTTATACATGTTAGAAGAATCAAACTGAGAACATGATTTCTGTCTTACCCTTGGGCAAATCAAATGAACCTCTGAGGTCAAGATGCTAGAATTGTGTATAATTCATGTAAGCATGGATGTACATACCAGAAAGGCAGGGAGTTAATTTCATATGCTGTCTTCATCCATGTGACATCTAGCATTGGTCAGTAGAAACTATTAGTAGAACTGCAAAAAAGTGTGTGTGAAAGTTTAATATTTTTATTATATGGTGTCATGTTCCAGAAGAAATAAGATTTTCTTGTGGCAGCACTGACTGTTAGTAGTATACTGTTACTGAAGTAGTGAACGTTTTGATCCAAGTGTGTGTGTACCTTAATCTGTATTAGCTATATAAGGTTTTGTCTCAGATATCCAGTTCATTAAGCAGCAAGATTTTAAATCCTGTTTAAAAATTATGATGTAGAGCTTGCTTAGCAACAGTGTTGTCTGTGTTGTAAAACATGGTATTTTCATTTGCTTTGCAATCCTAGTTTTACTGTCTCCAGACAGATTGCGCTTCAGACTCACAAGTGAAGAAATACCTTATCTATTCCCACAGAGACCTTCTAAGCTTTCAAAAACAAGATAATGATGGGCTGTATGGCTACGTGTCTCGTATTGCTCACAGGACAGATTAAGTACTGAGGTTCTTTTCAGAGTATAATACTACATGTACCCAATGTATCTACTATTATTGCTAATCTATTATTTTGAAAATATGCAGGGTCCTCACAGAGAGTGTAAAAAAATAGTTTATCTTCTAAAATGTTCCAATTTCAATTATTGTTTCTATTTTAGCAGTGCCTAAAGGCAAGTCCTGCATTCTGCTAAGCACAGTAGGACATATAAAGACAGAGACAAAAACCGAGACAGGAGAGTTTACATCTAAATTTTATACATGACCGTCATGTGGCCTTAGCAGACAAGAATAGAAGGACATCTCCTGACAATCCTATAGACCACCAGAAGAATTCATCTAAAGGACTAAACCTGAAAAACTAAGTGAACATTCACTATATACAAGCATTTGTTATATTTATTTTTTATTAATTTTCTTTTTGCTTAGTCTTTTTAGGATTTTTAATTTCAGCATGACTTCTCAGGTTGTTTTTTTTTCTTGTTGCAATGTTCAGAATATACTCTTATTTATTTGTTTTAATTGCATCCTAGATAAATTATGCAGCTTGGTTCCCTATCTTGGCTGTACAATCTTCTGTCTAGTTTCATTAAAATCCTTATTGAGTAAGCGTATGCTGTTAGAACCAAAACGTATCTGAGCTGCTTTCGCTAGCTTCTCATGCCTTGTGTGCTGATGCAGTGCTGGTCCTATTTGATCCTCGTGGTTTGTATTAGTGGGCTGCAATCCCAAAGGGAGCTGAGGGGGGCATTGTCAAATTTGTTTACAATCTAGAAGTGAACGTCATGCTCTTCTCCTTTCTTCATTCTGTAAGAGCAAATGTCCCATGCCAGTCCCTCAGAACACAAGGACACAAAGGAAATTGGAGTAGAAACGTAGGCCATGCAGTCCAGATCTTGTGTGTCAGCGCTATTTATCCTATCACAGATGCAGACCCACTCTTCTGTTCTTACAGGGACACCTGCACTGGGATGCAGTTGGTTTGATTTGGCACTCAGGGCAGTACATTTTGCCTGTGTGATAGATGCTTCCAGAAGAAGCAGTATAACCAGCCTGAACTGAAAGGTGGGGCATCTTTATAGGAAAATAGAGGAACAGGAGAAGAAGGAATTACAAGAAGATATACTTCCAGTGTCAAAGGTGTAAAGGACTGGTTTTCATCTAGACTGATTCATGAAAATACAAGACAGTTGTCAGAACCATGTGATTTTCCAGATCTACTAAACCTGTCAGACAAAAGTGCTATTATCAGTAAAAACCTGAAAATTCATATTGAGAAGCTAGTGATCTTTGCTTTTGGTGCTTTATAAAACACTGAAATAGAAATAATTACTGCTTTGTGTCTGGGAATGTTTTTTGCAATGATGAAGCTTAAACTTAGAAATTCCCATCAATACGTACTCCAACAGGAATAACTTTACTTAGCTAAGAACTACATTTGAAGGTGTACATGGTTCTGAATGAACGACATCCTAGACTATGATTTTATAATTTGTTATTTTATTTTTCATCTTAAAGCACAGTAGGTTAAAGGCTTCCTCATTTTTCTTGATAGAGAATTTTAAATATTTATTGAGTTCTTATCCATTTAAATATTTATGTTGCCCTTTATACCTTCTCTTAATTGAGTTGGCTTTTGTTGCCTGCTTCATTATGACTTAAATGAACTGAAACTCAGTGGGAGACAATATTTATTCAACACATTTCTGTCTCATTCCTGTCTCATTCCTATACAGTGTATGCTCAGATACATTCTGACAACTCTGTGAGACTTCCAAAGCTTAACTCTTGAGAGAGAGAAATACAGCTCTCTACTTTTTGTTAGGTGGGGTCATGATGGTAGAGATAACCTAGACAAAGCTCTGTGACTCGTCTGCCAGTCCTTGTAGTGCTATAGACCCATACCATCGTATTTGCACCAAGAGTATGACAGTCACGGTGGTAAGATTCTCATTGTTAAAGGTGATGTTTGGTTAGTTCAGTATGATGAAATGCCTGTTTGAAACAAATTAGTTTGAAATGTTAAGTCATCCCTTACTGTGTTTTTCAATTTTTATTTTTATTGCAGGGGCCATAAAGATAAAATATTTGTAGTGAAGTGTAATCCTCATCATGTAGACAAACTAGTCACAGTTGGGATGAAGCACATCAAATTTTGGCAGCAAACAGGTACTGTATTAAATATTTTATATTTAATTTATTTGAAAAAATTTTAATACAGGAACATTATGTTCTCAGGTTAATAATTTGTTTTATTTGTAAAGCAATTTTCTAGGTACCAAAATACTAAAGGGGTGAAAACAACTCCCGAATCAGCAAATGTCACAATATTCCTTTCTCTTTGGATGTAATTTCCAGCTAATTGTTTTTTAACTCTAGTCATACTGTTAAGGATTTCTCCCAAACAAGCATCTCTGGCTCACGGACAACATGCAGTCCTGTAATTCATGTAGACAGATTATGACCCTTGTTGTGAAAACACCAGCTGGTAGCTAAGAATCTCAGATGCCTCTGGCACACTGCTAAGAACAGTAGTGTTCACCCTTCAGGTACTGATGTAACGCTTCAGCTACCCTTCAGGTTCAACGTAGAGCTGTTCTTCAGTCATCAGAGATGGCTTCCAGAGATGGAAGCATGTAGAATCATAGAATCATAGAATCATTAAGGTTGGAAAAGACCTCAAAAATCATCAAGTCCAACCCAACACCACCGAACTCACTAAACCATGTCCCTAAGCACCACATCTACATGTTTCTTGTTTCAAGGTGCCAGGCTGGAAAGATAGGTTTGAGGATGGACCTTAAAATACATGCCTGGGCAAAACAAAAAAGAAAGAATTAATTGGGTATTTTGCAGAAGTTCATTTATAGTAATTTATATTTTATCCATTAGGCTAAAAATCATGATATGGTATCACAAAAATCAAGATATTCAGGTAATATATTTTTTGTATGACACAGGAGTTTGGTTTCCTTTTGTGAAGAATGAAAAATGAAAATGTGTTTTCCATTATTTAAAAACAAGATAAGATTCTGCAAACTAATAAGCAAAATATTCTGAATGGGAAGCAGGTATCAGTCTAGACTGTTCTGGCAAACTGAGAAAGACAGCAAAGTTGGTTTCCGATTGAGGACGTTTTTTATTCAGGACTGGATTTTTTGTTCTTCATGAACATTCAGTAAAAACATTTTGGAGAGCATCTTCTATGTGTAAAATTCAGCAAATGTAGGGTGGCACAAGGACAGCTAAAAACAGAACTCAAGACAACTCAAAATTACGTAGTATTGAGAAGGTCCTATACTTATGCCATACTTTACTGCATTCAGGTGGTTCAGGTGCTCTCAGATTAAAAATTACAGGGCTTCTTCTGCATTTTTTATGTTTAGGTTATTTTTGTAGCAATTAAATAGACTTGCATTGCTGTTTGCCAAATTCTGTTACAGGAATTTGCATTAAGCAGTGTCTTACTCCATGAGTGGTCTCTTTGCAACAAAAATGGTATATTTTGAATTTGGATTTGCTCAGTGGAATTGGGACTATCAGACTGGTGTTAACTGTGAAATACATGACGACTTGATGTAAGGACACCACTGCCTATAGTATTTTGTAACTGTATGTGCACTTTTGTCTATAAGCACTCAATTCATGGGGGTATATGGCTACTTCTGTTTTCTGAATGTCCTGCTTTCGCTGCTAGCTGGGTGGGTTAAACCACAACACTGAACCAAGGTAAAGCTGTGGCAATTTGGTTCTCTGACAGTCAGAATAGGAGTGAATCCTGCCATTTATTCTGCAAAACTGCTGTCAAATTGTCAGGTTGCCAGTGGATGACTAAAATGAACCTCTAGTATTTCATGCGTAGTTGTGGTCCCCTCTAAAGTGAAAGAGCTTAGCAGGAGCTTGGCAGGCTGTTCTGTGGAAAAAATATTCTGCCAGCCATTGTATTAATTCTTATACAATTCCTCACTAAAATTTTATAATTTGCTTGGAAATAACAATCTGAAAAATAGAGCCTGTACTGCTTCAAAACTGTCATTACTAGATTGACTTTCTTTTATTATGTTTTTCTCTTGTGCACTGTTTTCAGTATTTCTATTATTATGTCTTAGGCAATCACAAGAGATGGTAGGGTCAAGACATTTGACCTTCACAGTCTATGGCTATGAACTGAAATACAAAAAGACTTACTTTTGTTTGTATTGCAGGTGGAGGCTTTACATCAAAACGAGGAACATTTGGAACTGCTGGAAAACTGGAAACTATGATGAGTGTTTCCTATGGGCGAATAGAAGATTTAGTTTTCTCTGGTGCTGCTACTGGAGACATTTATATCTGGAAGGATACTCTGTTGCTTAAGACAGTGAAAGCACACGATGGACCTGTGTTTGCCATGCATGCATTAGATAAGGTATTTATTGTCTTCCGTGATCCATTAATCTTTATTATTTTTGTTGCAATACTGGATTTTAGAAGTGTATAACTAACATATCTCCCAACATTACTCAGGTTCTGGACATGTGTATGTGAGGAACACATTGTTCTACGTTGCACTAACGTTGAAGGTGCTGTAATAAACAAAACTGAAACAGAAAGCAAGTTGGACTGGATGAATCTGAATGTGATTAAAATCACAAAACCAGTACTAATGAGTTCTGTTATTTAGTATTGTAAGCACCACATTATATGTGCTTGTTACCTGACTGATAGCTTTCTGACCTCTAAATATGCAGAATTTATTTCTCACTGAGCTCATGTATGTCATTTTCATATTTGTAAACCATGGGAGAGTAGCAGGTAACATTCATTGCCTCTTCAACCTGATCCCAAAAATATTTTTGCATTATCAATCAGTTTCCAAAATAGGGAACATTGTTTTTTTAATAGTACTATTACTGTATCTTAAGCAAGCAAGACTTCAAACATCCAAAGGTTTTGTTTTTCAGAGTTAATTATTTGAGATATCAAAATTATTTTCCTTCAGTTGCATCAATAAATCTTTAAAAGAACCTATGGCAAAATATATTATTGACATCACATAAACGAGGTTGGGGCAAAGTTTTGACACTTGAAATCCATTGGCAATTTGAAAATGTTGATAATGGAATATCCTCTTTGAAATTATAGTTTCAACTTTAGAAGTATAGCATGAAAAGGAGAATGTTGGCTATTAACATTTTTATATACCAAGGTCAGTGGCTCAATCTTTTCTGTCCCTAATTGATTGTTCCTAGCTTTTCCATCAATTTTTCTATTTGATCTTGGCACTCTGTCTTCTGAACATCCTCTTCACATTTTTTTTAGTTAGTTATTTATGCTGTGTTTTGCACTCACTTGGCACAGATAAAGAGAATCTCCCAAGGGAATTAATCAAAGAATCAGTCCCTGTGCATTATTAGAACTCAGTTTGAAGCATCTGTTAAGTCCATTGAATTTGGAATAACTTGAGAAGCTATTATTACCAACTACTGCCTCTTGTAAGGATGAAGCACATATTTTTCCATACCTTATGTCCACATGGAGAAAAATGTTTTGGTCCAGCATTACTATTTACAATAGTATACACTCTGCATGATTTTAAGTCTTTATAACCCTAGAAAAGCAACTCTCTGAATTTTCTGCCCTTATGTTTTTTCCTCGTAGGTATAGGCTTCAGTATTTTTAATTGGAGACATGAATAAAGCACAGGGGAGAATTTGTACTGCCTTTGGATATGTCTTTTTAAGGATTAACATATGAGTGATGATGTTCCTATGTTTTCATACTGTGATCATACAGGGTTTTGTAACTGGTGGAAAAGATGGAATTGTGGCACTTTGGGATGATACGTTTGAAAGATGTCTGAAGACGTACGCTATTAAAAGGGCAGCACTATCTGCTAGTTCTAAAGGTATTATGTTTCGGTGTGTTTTAATAAGGACTGTACACATGAAGGGTGGCAAAATGGCAGTAGTAGGTGTCAAATCTTATCAGAACATAAAGGGAACAGTGAAACACTACTTGCTACTCTGTGCTGGAATTTTCTGTTTTGAATTATTTAAGTTGTATTTCACACAGTCTTTGCCATTTATAGTTTGTTTTGCTATGTCTTGCTCTATTCTGTGACATTTGGCTTTGTTTTCATTGAAGAAACAGTTTTAAAAAGAAATGTCACAAGTCTGTGAGTCTGGCTGTTACAAAATCTGTTTTGTTTAGCAGCTAGCTTCCTTGACTGGCCAAATTTCATGTAGTGAGTTGGAAAGACCTGGTAAATTCTACTTCCCTGGGCATCAGTGTGGAAGTCTGCAAAATTATATTCACAGATAATCACAGAATTAATGTCCATGTTGCTGGAGCATCTGAACCCCTTATACACTGTCACTGTTAAAACACTAAAATATCAATCTTTGTATTGCCACTATACAGACTAGCACAAGCTCCGCTCCTTTGAACTATTAATTATATCCATGGTTTATCTAGTAGTTTGATCAGGCAAGTCTGTCTCATGTTTCATAATTTTAAACAGATTTCAATTATAGTTTATATAAGCTGTATAAACTATAGGTGATATGAGGCTCTTTTGGAATTCACAGTAAAAACCTAAAATTAATATCTTTATATTCTTCAGGTTTACTTTTAGAAGACAATCCTTCTATTCGAGCCATCAGTCTGGGACATGGGCATATACTAGTGGGAACTAAAAATGGAGAAATACTTGAAATTGATAAAAGTGGTCCAATGACTCTACTTGTTCAGGTACTGTGTAGATCTTCCATGTCAAAATATGGATAGAATATAGAAGACATTATAAGATTTTTCCCAGTCATTTTTTTTCCTGTTTTCATTAATCCTTTCCTTGCTCAGGCAGAAGTTGATGCTTTCATATCTAAATGACTTTGAGATTCACTGGATTATAGAATTCTGAAGGTAAAGCAAACAGTCCATTAAGTTCAAAGGCTGATGAGGCTTTTTATGAATTTTTTAGACATTTTAGCTTAGGACCCAACATAAAAATGAAAAACTAAGAGTAGAGCTAACACAATTTCTTTTATTTTGACAGTCTGTTCCATTTATTTGCTTTTATTGAAATAATGTAGTGTATTCTGAAGGAGCCTATACTTTAATTTGTGAAAAATTGTTTTAGAGTTATGACCACTTTCTACAGTGACACACAGTTGACATTGCATGTATTGCAAAGCATAAAGAGACCTCTTTTTGAAAGACGAAGTATTTTGCAAAGTTTGGTTAAAAAATTTTCATGTATATGTCCACTGATGTATTTGATGTTGCTTTGGTTTAGTGTCTTGAATAACCCTAATGTCTATATGTAGAAATTTGTATATATCATTTACTGAGTTATAATTTGTCAAGTTTTACTTTTTGTTTTCCGTAAGTGACTAAATTAACATTGTTTTTTACAAAAATATTATTTCTTTGATATTTTTTTCCAGTTAGTTCTGATCACATAAAGTAATCTTTCAAATTTTTATTGCCTGCATGACAGCCTTACTAAACCTAAACATATGAAGTTGTATTTTATAAATTATTTAACTCATTCGCTAATTTGGAATTGCAATCTCATCCTAATACAGTTCCCTTCACATGAATAGTAAGGTTGCAAGACAGTAAAATTACCTTAACGTTACCCAATTGCTGTGAGTTTTCTGATAGAGTGTTGTAATTGTCACCCAGTTTAAATTACATGCTTGCATGCATCAACTTGAGCCAAAACAGAAAATAAATGAAGTGTAATTAAGACAGTTCCCCCCTTTTTCTTTTAATGATGTTTTTCCATCTCAACAAAAATGACAGTTACTGAACTGAAATCCAGATTGAGAATAGTAAGAAATTATTTAACCTTGGAATGCAGTGCCAGTAAGCTGTATGCACGTTGAAGGAAATCTAGAAAAGGCAGGAAGTGATAAAGAAGTTTGAAAACTGAGTTCTGGGGAAAGATCAAAAGAACTAATTATGTGTATGTTGGTCAAACAAGTTATCCAGAATCTAAAGAATTACATCAATGTTGAAGACAAATCAGCCCATATTAGGATTTCAGGATAAAGTCCTGTTTGGGGCATAACTATTTCCAGTTCATTTCAAGTCTGGAAGAGAGCGCATTTGTAGAACAGGAATGACAGCTAGTAATAGCTGAGGAAAGTAAGGAAGACTATATTTTAAATGGTTATCAGAGGAAACAGGCCAGACATTTGAGTCTCTTTGACTGGAAAATTTTTGAGAGGAAATTATGAAGGCCTTAGTGCTTGTAAAAAGAGGCAGGGCAAGTGCTAGAATGTATTACACAAACCCAAATGCATTATTTTATATTAAATTATTTCCTTTAGGGACATATGGAAGGAGAAGTCTGGGGCTTGGCAGCTCACCCTCTCTTGCCTGTCTGTGCAACAGTGAGTGATGATAAAACACTACGAATCTGGGAACTTTCATCCCAGCACCGCATGCTGGCAGTAAGGAAGCTCAAGAAAGGTAGTTCTCATTTGGCCATACACTGTGATAGTAATGATACTGCTCTGTTTCTGTAACAGTTCCATCTTTGCTTTCACTTCATATCACAGGCATTAATTTGGTAGGAAGAGGACAGAGTCATTAGGAAATTGGAAGCACAGGAAGTAAATTGTCTTTGGCATGTGTCAAGTCTATGAGAGGAGTAGAAAGAAAAAGGATTATAATCTATCGTAATGAATAATAATAAAAGGAACTTAAATCTATTTTCCTCCGATTCCAAGGGGAATAAGTTGACCTCAGAATCATTTTCCTTCCTAAAGATAGTTAAGGCCAGCTTATTTGTTGCTAACATTAAAAAGTTTCCTTATAAACACAAATGTAAAATTTTCTGCATTTTAAGCACAATCAGCCTTCAGTGGCAATACGAACTTAACATGTTATACCAGCTTCTCAGAAAATGAACTCTCCTCTGTATAAAAGTAGATGAGCTCTGTTGAAATCCTGCCTTCTCAAAATTACTCTTATTTCATTTACTTGTTCATACCCTTCAGGAAGTTTTATGGTGTAAATTCAACATGCTGCATTTTCAGTGACAGATACAGAGCGCAGGAACTCCTAACTGGCTGAGGGAAAAGAGAGTAAAATGCTTTGGAAAGGTGAACTCGAGGATGGATGAGGATAGCTATATGAGAGAGTATGGTCAGAAACAGTGTTGAGGAAAAAAGTAGGTGGAGGAAGCACAATACATCTGTTTTAAATGTGCTGCACCTGAAAGGAGCCATTATTCAGTCATTTAACAAAGAAGCCTTCAAGTGTAGTACCCCTGAAACACATGTAGTTATGCTGCCCATAATGAGTCTTTGAATTTCCATCTGGATTTCCTTTCTGAATGTTTTTGGGGTTTTTTAAAAATTTTATTTCTATCATTGGTGTGTTTAGAACATAGCTGGAAGGTAGTATTTGCACCTAAACCCATTTCAAGACTAATCACATCACCATTGTCTGTTCCAGAACAGCCTATACAGAGGGTATGTTCCCATTTAGTAAAATGTTAATCATAGCCCTCCTATCACATATTTGTTTTAATAAATAACAAATCTATTTTAAAAGTATATACTTGATGTAAAAAACATTCCGTTTTAGTTTATTGATGGTTGTATCAATCCCAAGTTTGTAAACCTTAAGATAATTCCTTCCATTTTCTTTGGTAGGTGGACGATGCTGTGCCTTTTCCCCTGATGGGAAAGCCTTGGCTGTAGGGTTGAACGATGGGAGTTTTCTGGTGGTGAATGCTGACACTGTTGAAGATATGGTCTCTCTTCACCACAGAAAGGAAATGATCTCAGACATAAAGTTTTCACGAGGTATAATCAGATGATGAGGTGAAAGGGCAGTGTTTATCCTGGAGTTTGTTTTTCTCCTCTGGACATAATTGAGTGTTCAGAAGGCAGACTGGCTTTATACATGCTCCGTGCATTTCAATACTTTAGAAGTCTGCATGGTTGTATGCAGCCTAGTATAACAGAGCCCACCACTAACCTAGTGCCTTTGGATGCACTACAGTAGTAAAAATGCATAACAATAATAATTACAACATTTACACCTTTAATAACCTCAGTGTCTCTTCTTTACAGAATCAGGAAAGTACCTGGCTGTGGCTTCCCATGATAATTTTGTAGATATTTACAATGTACTTACCAGCAAAAGAGTTGGCATTTGTAAAGGTGCATCTAGCTATATCACACACATTGACTGGGACTCAAGAGGTAAAGTGTTTGACCAGAGATACAGATTTAAAATGACTGTAAAACAGAATATCAGAAAACTGTTCTTGTACCTGTTACTAAGATAAACTGTAACTACTAATGCAAATGATTTTTCAACATCAAGCACCATATGGGTTCAGTGCAATTAAATTTGTTGGTGGGATTCATCCTCACTTGTGGCATTTGTACCAGAGTAGATGGTACTGCACTGCTGACAACACATGACTAGAATGTCACTTATTAACATAATATTTGTGTTTCTTTATTTTAGTTTTGTGGCACATTTTTCTTTTCCACCTTTTATGTCCAATTTCCTTTCTTCTCTGCTGAGCACTACATGGCAGTCATGGCAATGAAGTTAGAGAGCCTTATTGTCACAACTAATTAAATCTAGCAGGATTGATAATGAGCTTGTGCAAATAAACCTTCTCAGACCTAGTATGATCCTGCATGGAACCACCTGTGTGTCTGAGCCCTGCTTCCCCTGTTGCACTGGTCCCAAAATGTGATGCAAGCTCACTGGCAACAACAGGAGCTAAACTCCTTTCTGAACCCCTTCAGCCCTTCAGGTCTGGGTGCCATTCTTGAGCTAGCAAGGCGTGCTGCAGCTGCGCTGGCGCTGTGTGCCTGCTCACAGCCCTGCTAATCTCACTGCTGATAGGTGTACACACAATTGCAGGCATTTGTATGATAATACCTGTGTCTGTACTAGCCAGTTCTTGGATGTGTTACATGTGCAGACATAAAGTATAAGAAAATCTAAAATTCTTTATGTCCTTGATGGTATTTATTTGAAATTGTAACTGAACTTCTAGATGTAAAGGATTAATATACTAAATTGCATAATCTGTGTTCTAAAGGTCATATAGCAAGGGTGTAATTGCACTTCTTGTTGTCAGTGATTCCGACAGACTCCTCTAACAAAGGGCAAGATGCCCAGTCAAAATATACCAGTGTTGGAGCTGATAATCCACTGATTATCCACTGATAATCTAATCCAGTGTTTCTCAGTCAAAGAGTGCTTTTCCTGGCAGTTTTGCAGTTTCAATCTTGTAGAACTGTTTTTATGATAATAAATCCCCACCACATTTCTTACGCTAGTCTAGTTGTTATAATTTGAAAAATTCTGAAAATGCCTTTAATTTTCCTATATCAGAAATACTGTAAAACTGAATTTGAAAGCATTTTTTGCTTCTTCATGAAGAAATACTTGCTGCCATACTATCACCTGCATACAGGATTATCTTCATAATATCACAGTATTTGTATGGATATGGTAAATTTGTATGCATGACAATTTGGTGTGTAGCTGGACTATATGCCAGTTAGGCAGTGCAAACCAGACAGGAGCTTAAAATAGTTTTAACTTTTGGCAATGCTGTCTTGCAAAATTGTTATGAAAATTAATAGCATACACATTTTTTTACTTTCCATTGTCATAGTGATGAAAACACAAGCAAAAGATTTCTTATCAGAAGAAAGTGATTTTCTGGAAGACAGTAATTTTTTAAGGATGTTGGGTGGTATTTGAAATATTACTTCTCCAGTGTATCAGGAGTACAGGATTCTTATGAGAGTGATTCTAAGCATCTGTTTTACTTTTTCTATTAATAATTATCTGGAGGATAATTTCTTAGCTTACCCGCAGAAGTCTTTTAGTTCAATCAAAAAAACTTCATAATATTCATAATAATGAATAAGATTTATAATAAACTCTTATTTTGTATCCAGGAAAGTTATTGCAAGTCAATTCTGGTGCCAAAGAACAACTATTTTTTGAAGCACCAAGGGGAAAAAGACATATTATAAGAATTGCTGAGGTACGGATTACGCTTGCTGGATTTTTTTATTATCGTGAAAGTTATTTTTCTGGACTGTTGAAAATTAGCATATTTTGTCTTCGTATGGTTTTTTTATTACTTTTAAACTACTATATTTACAGTGGTTAGAATTAGAATTATTTAATCATTTTGTATAGTGTCTTTCCTAGCATTTGTAAATGGTAGAACTTGCAAGTTTCTGTTTGTATCTCAAAATTTAGTTTGGTTTGTTTAATAGCAGCCATTTCCCCTTATCCCCTTTCCTGAACAATCACCTACTTTCTGTGTAATCAGTGTGCGTACAGGTTATAAACCATCTTTAAACGCTATGACCTGGCTTTTAAGGATGTTGATTATTTGTGACATGTAATTCTTCTACAAAATTGCCAGTGTTTAATGCCTCAAAAAAATCTTTAAGGAGATCTGTATCCACATCATGCTCTACCTTGGGAAAGCAGGA